TCCTGTTCCTGTTCCTGTTCCTGTTCCTGTTCCTGTTCCTGTTCCTGTTCCTGTTCCTGTTCCTGTTCCTGTTCCTCCTCCTGCTTCTCCTCCTCCTCCTCCTCCTCCCAGCGCGAGCTCCCGCAAGCTAGGGCACGCGGGGACCGAGCGAAGGCCCCAGAAAGACGAGCGAGCGAGGGCCAGAGACGGCCCACCCGAAAGCCAGGGGGACGACGCAAACCGAGCGAAACAACGAGCTTCCTCGGGAGGCCCTGGGGTGTTGAAGGCCCGGAGAGGAGCACGAACACCAACACCAAGGGGGGGGTCCCCTTCCAGCAGGGGGGAGATGATCCTGGGTGTTGGCCCTGGCTGTGGGCAACCTGGTGAGCCCGAAGATTGCCACCGTCACCGCGGCAATGGGATCCTCTCCCCTCGGTGGGGGCACACTGCCGATTCTGGTGCCGAGGCAGCAGCCTCGACGCCGGAGATTGTGGCCCAGGAGGGGGGGGCGCATCCCACGAAAATCGCCCAAGAATCCTCCCACAACACCCTCGAAGGGCCTCCTCGGCGGCGCCCTTCCCGCCAGGCGGGCCGTGGGGAGGCGTGCGGGCAGCAGCGGCCCCCCCCCTCGGTCGCGCGAGGCGGGCCACGGAGGCGCAGAAGGCGGGCCCGCGAAGGCAGGGGTGGGCGCCTCGAGCGACTCCCCGGGGAAGTGCCACGGACTCCTGGAGATCCCTGCAGATATCCCTGCAGATGTCCCTGCAGATCCGAGCAGCTCCCCAGGGTTGGTCCCCTGCCTCCCACTCCTGTCGTTTTCCATTGGAGCGCTTCCGATAGGACCGCGGGCGCGGGCGGGTCGCGGCTCGCTCCTGCGCGCGAGCCCAAGCTGCAGGCGGAGGAGAGGAGGGAGCCAACCGAAGAGTCTGGGAGACACTGGAAGAAATGCGCAGGGGCTCCCAGGCATCCGAGCGATTCCCAGTAGGGGGCCCCAGCGGCTCCCCGGGGGCAGCGCCCGGGACGCCCGGGGATGCGAGCGGCTCCGCCCCAGACATGCGACGTCCTGATTCTTCCAGGACGGCGTCCCTGGAAGTCCAGTCCAGACCCTTTCCCCGGGGCCGGTGTTTCGTCCGGACTCCTTTCTTGACGGCCCCGAGGCCCGGCGAGAGCCCCCATAGGGGCCGACAATATAGCGCAAAACCTCCCGTCCAGACTTTTTTTTACGACGCCATCGGAGGCGGAGGCGGAGGCAGATGAGGAGGAGGAGGAGGAGGAGGAGGAGGAGGAGGAGGAGGAGGAGGAGGAGGCGGAGGCGGAGGCGGAGGAGGAGGCGGAGGAGGAGGAGGAGGCGGAGGAGGAGGAGGAGGAGGAGGAAGGAGGAAGGAGGAAGGAGGAAGGAGGCGGAGGAGGAGGAGGAGGAGGAGGGGAGGGAGGCGGATGGGAGGGGAGGGGAGGGGGAGGAGGAGAAGGAGAGGAGGAGGAGGAGGAGGAGATGAGGAGGAGGAGGAGGAGGAGGAGGAAGAGGAAGAGGAGGAGGAGGAGGAGGAGGAGGAGGAGGGAGGAGGAGGAGGAGGTGAGTAGGAGGAGGAGGAGGAGGAGGAGAGGAGGAGGAGGAAGGAGGAGGGAGGAGGAGGGAGGCGGAGCGCGCGGGCCCCCGGGCAGGGCGAGGCCGGGGGCTCCCGCTCCGCTCGGCCGCGCGCGCGCGCCGTCGCGGCGCGGCGCGCTCGCCCGAGAGGGCCGCCGCCTCGCCGCGGGGCAGGGCCGCGAAGGCGGCGCCGGCTCCTCCTCTCCTTCCTCCTACAATACCCCCTCCTCCTCCTCCCCTCACTCTACCCCTCTCCTCTTCCTCCTCCTTTTCATCCTCCCCCTCCTCCCTCCCCTGCTCCTCCTCCCCCTGCTCCTCCTCCTCCTCCTCCTCCTCCTCCTCCTCCTCCTCCTCCTCCTCCTTCGCGCAGCACGGCGAAGCCAGCGAGTCCCGACGGCACATCTCGTGTGGGGGGGGGGGCCCTTCCTCGAGGAGGCGCGGTCTCCTCGAGGACAGGAGGAGGTCCTCGTGGGTGGGGTTGGGGGGCGGGGGGGGGCCCTCAAACTATCTCGGGCGTCGATCCTGGACTCGATCCTCAGAGGATCTGGCACCCCCCGCACTGGTAGTCCCCTGGTGGCACTTCCCAGGTCTCCTGGGGGCGGGGGAGAGCAGAGGGCATGCTTTGCCTTCGCAGGGCCCGGCCGCGCTTCCGCCAGAGGAGCCGCCCTGAATTTACTCATGCTGCCCTTCGACGGGCGCTCCGCCGGCTTTTCCCGAATCGCGAGACGTCACCTTTTCGATTCCTCGTGGGGGACCCCTTTCTTGGAACGCCTCGTACGTAGGCCGCCACTGTGACAAGCGTACGCTGGAGCGTATTGTAACGCCTGTCGGCTGTCTGGCTTGCCTTCTCTCGTACACCAGAGGGCGACTCCCCCTACCAGCGTCACTGTTTAAGGACGGACCCATACTTCGCAAACAAATTCACGGATGGAGGACAGCCCGCGTTCGAAATGTGTCTCCCTCCCTAGCTCCGTGCACATTCGTTTGAAAAGCTCGCAACAGTTTCAAGGATTGAGGGCGGGTCCTTCTCATCATGCGGCTCTCGCCACAGCGCCGCACACATTCGTCTGACACATTTGCAGCAACAACTTCGCGGATAGAGGGCGGGCTGTTTTCCAAATGTGGCTCTCGCGCTAGCGCCGTGCACATTAGCCTTGAAACTTCGCAACCTCTTCACGAGTGAGGGGTGTACCCTTTTGAACATGTTTCTCTCGCCCTAACGCCGCGCATATTGGCCTGCACACGTTGCAGCAAACTCAAAGATGGAAGGCGGGACGGTTTCAGATTGCGCCTCTCGCCCAAGCGCCGTGCACATTCGCCTGGAAAGTTGGCAACAATGTAAAGGATGACGGGCGGATCCTGTTCAACATATGGCTCTCGCCCCAGCGCCGCGCAGATTCGTTTGAACAGTTTGCAGCCGCCTCACGGATGGAGGGCTGTTCCTTCTGAACAGGTGGCTCTCGCCCGAGTGCCGCGCACACTCGTGTAGAGAGGCTGCAGCTGCTTCAAGGATGCGCAATCCCGAAGTCCCAGGAGTAGTTGCCGGGCAGGACGTCTGACTGTCAGGACGCAATGTGTACGTTGTTTCTCGGTGCCGAAGCCCCTGCCATGATGTTCTGGCACGACTTCGAACTGCTAGGACGCACCAGTCGCGTAGATTCGCGACGCTGAACTCCCAGGGACGGTGTGTTGGCACGACTGGGGGTTCTCAGACGGATGTCTTCAAATGGAGCACTTCCCACAACGAAACAAAATATTGCAGGGCCCGATGAAGAGGAAACATGGACGGAGGGTTTCTTGCAACATCGCTGACGCGTCTTAGGGTTTACACTGGTCTCTGTTCATCCTGCTCGTCCTCGTAGTCTCTACCTCCATCTGTCATCATCCTCTTCCTCATGATCAGCACCACCACCTTCAGCACCACCCCTCCTCCATGCAACGATTCAGTGCTCCGATCCCCTAAAGACGTCCTGATAGTCGAGCGCTCCCCTCCACGTATGAATCCTTCACGCGTGATGGGTCCGAGTTGCTTGTTGCAGACGGATGGGGAGAAGAAGCGATGCGTGCTGCCCTGTCTTCCCACCTGCACGTCCCCAGTCCTTCCCAAATGGCGCCTCCGCTGCAGCGCGGAACTCGCGTTGGGATCGGGGCGTTGCCCCGTCGTCCAGAATGGCGGTTTCGCGCCAGCACGGGCCGCTGTTCAGGATCCCAGTCCTTCCTCATCGTTGTCGTCGCCCTCCTCTTCCCATCCCCCGCCTTCCCCTAGTCCTCCTGCTCCTCCGTCCTTTTCATCTTCGTCCTCGGTTTCCCTCTTCCTCATCCTTTTTTTTCTTCTGCTTCAACCGCCAGCCCATCCCACTCCTCCTACGCAAGCCCCACCCCCCTCCGTTTGCCGATTGCGCATGACTCGATGAAGTGTGCGTAGAGCTCCAAGTCCGCTATGACACGCATCCGCGAAGAGAGGCATACATCAGCGCCATGGGAAGGGATGAGCGGGATGGGTAGGATGCCTTCTCGTCTCTCGTCTCTCGTCGTTCTCTTCTCTCCTATCTCCTCCTTCCTCCCTCCTCCTCATCCTAGTTCATATCTCCTCCTCCTCATCATCATCATCATCCCCCCTCGGGAACACCAACCACGGATGGGTTGGCCCGTGTCCCCCCTGGCGGCCTTGGCATCGAGCTCAGAGTAGCAACCCTTTGACTCGATCCTGCACGGAGCGAGCGGGAGGGGGGAGGAACGCGACGACGAGAAAGGCGGGCGGAAGTGAGGAGAGCAGTGACGAGAGCGAAGGGGAGGATCACGAGGGAGGCGATGACGAAGAGACGAGGAATGTGGGGAGGAGGAAGGAGAGGCGGCGGATGCGAAAGCCCGTGTAAGACGGTGCAGAGGGGATCGCACGCATCAGCAGACGGGCAACATACAGCGGGCAGAAAAGGAGGAGGAGGAGGAGGAGGAAACGGTGTAGGAGGCACCGCGGACGAGACTCGCTCGATCGACTCTGAGGGGGCGTGTCTTGGGGAAGTCCAATCTCTGCACGAGCTCGTGCGCTACACTTCTCTCTCCCTCTCTCTCTCTCTCTCTCACCACCCCTCACCTCCCCCTCGCTCATGGCCTTCTCGCATCCCCTTCCCATGCTGCAGGATCCATCCCCTCCCCGTCCTAGAGAATCTCGCTCTCATCCGCCTCCTCATCCCCCTTCTCCTCCATCTGCTCTCCAACGACATGGTGGCGACCGTGGCCCGGGAAACTGCAGGAGGCTGAACGTCGTGGCCGGGCCTCCAACTCCTCTCCCCCCCCACAGCAGAAGTGCGACAGCGCCAGACCGCGTGACTTTGAGCTTTGCCTTCGCCTGCTTCTCTAGCTGCTCATTCCTGGACTCCTTCGTACCGTCGTGGCGTTGACCTAAGGAACCCTAAATAAGGAACGAGGCCCCTCCTCT